GCCTCATCCTTGTTTTGCATGAGCAGATTTGCCACGTTGCTGTCGCCAGACTTGCATAACAGCAAAAAGCTTTATAGAGCCTGGATGAGTTCACAAAATTAAGCCAGCACGCTGCACAGTAATAATCTTTGTCAGCTTAGGTGGTATGAAAGGTCATGGATTAGGCCAGGAAAATGGATAGTACAGGCTGAAGACCCTCGAATTCTGTGTTTATTGCTATTAGAAACGTCTTTCTACTGCTCCATCATTTGAATGGACAAGTGATGTTAAATATACCAATCTGCATTTCACAAAGTCAGTGTAATAAACCTAACCACATTTTATCTTTTTTCAGATGAACGCAGTATAGAGCATGGATTTTTCTCATCTTCTCTGGCAATATTTTTCCCTTTCGTCTGTGATTCCCTCCTGCTACTCTGTTTCTTCACATCCTATGTTTCTAGGAAAATGAAGGAAAGGCCAACAAATACGCTGCAAGTTTTTGATAGCAAGTGGATTTTCCCTCAGTCAGAACCGTCTGTTGTTCTGAAGGGCCTCCTGAATCTTACTGAAGGTAAAATTTAAAGACACTCTCCCACAGAGTGGGTTTTGCAAATGGAAAACATCCAGATAGACCCAAAGCATCAGAACTAGAATGAGAGTCTTTGGAAAAGGCGAGAGGTTTAGCAACCTCTAGCAAATGCTGTGCGTAAAGTCAGCACCCAGCTGTTACAGGTTGTTGGATAGATCACACGGTTACTTAGGGAACTTCTTGATGTAGAAATGGTACATTTCTATTCTGAAGAATTTTTATTTTATGCAATCAGATTGTTCTCTGTCATAAATACGGCTGGAAGTTATCCAGTGGTGTACCTATAAAAGAATTCAAAGCCAAGTATATATAAAATTATACACACAGTTTATTGAAGATAGTTATCCCACATCTGGGCAAAAGGAAAAAATTCGTGTTCTTTATTTCATCGCATCTTCCATTCTGGCCATTTAAAATTAAACACAAATTTTATCTCTCTTGGGAGAATTAGCTTTGTTGGGAGAATTATGTTTGTTATGGTTTTAAGATACTGATTAGTATCAATAGAAGGAAGTACATTGTCCAAATTCATGAGTAGTGTTTTTGTTTAAACTTTAATATCCAAAGCTGACTGTATTCTCTGTCTTCATCATGGTCACTAGTAAATGAAATTGTCTTTCCAGTTCTATCAAGAGAGCAAGGCTATTAAATATTAAACATTAAATAAGATAAAACACATTATTTTTTCAAAAAGCTAAAATTAGTAATAAAAACTTGTTGCCATAGAGTTAATTGGTAGTACAGTGGTTACACGCTCAGCTACTAACTGAAAGGTCAGTAATTTGAAGCCGTGAGCCGTTCTGCAAGAGAACGATGTGGCGGTGGGCTTCCATAAAAATTACAGCTTTGGAAACCCCATGGGAAAGTCCTACTCTGTCCTATAGGGTCGCTGTGAGTCGGAAAATTAGTAGCAGGTGCAGATAAACTCAGAGATTTAATTCATGATTTCTAAATGGATTAGTCTATGTTGTTATTAGTTGGTATTTAGTCTGTTGGAGCCCTGGTGGTGCAGGCGTTAATAGCTCAGCTGCTAAGCAAAAGGTTGGAGGTTCGAACCCACCAGCCACTCTGCGGGAGAAAGATGTGGCAGTCTGCTTCCATGAAGCTTTACAGCTTTGGAACCCCTATGGGGCAGTTCTACTCTGTCCTGTAGGGTCGCTACGAGTCGGAATCGACTCCATGACATTGGGTTTGGTTTTAGTCTATTAGCTGTAAAATATAATTTTATTATTTTCAAATTCAGAAGGAAAAATAATAACTGACAACCCGAATCACTAGGCAGAGATAATATGCAAATCAAATAATTTTAAAATCCATGTCCTGTGTAATGGCATCGAGAACTGCCTATTTTTCAATGATAAATGTGTTTTTCTCACAAATACATTTGCAAATGTCCCATTATCTCTCCTGCGCTTTTTCCGGATACTTCTTTGAATGGATGTCAAGTTTACTGTGTTACTTACATTCTTGCTTCATTAACACTGAGACAAAAAACGGGTTTGGAGGGTGGGTTTGACAGGGTTCTCCCAGATACCTTGACAGACTGTCTTCTGTGTGGCTGCAGCTTGTTTTTCCACTGTCACCACCACAACTGTGCTATAATGTGTATGCTGTATTTTTCTTTAGTGGTGATAAAGTTTTCTTTAAATCTATTTTAAAATTAAAGCTGATATATATGTGTTGCATTAAATGTGATATGCACGTGGTACTTGTTTCTGTACACAAATTAAAGCCTCCTCTCAGTTTTTATGTAAAATGACATGAATCTTACAGGGTTTGGGTTGACCTTTTAAATTGAAGTGATGAAGAAACAGAAGATAACATTTAAAAATACATATCATTTCCGATGGCTGCTATTGAACGGTTTGTTGTAGTTTTGCCCTTTGAGAAAGATTGATACAGTTTTATTTTACTGCACTAGCCAAGAGACTTTAAGAAGGGTTAAAATTCCAATGTTAGTCTCTTACTTGCTGTAAAGATTTTAAAAGTTACTGCCATCATGTATAGGTTTAATGTTTTTCTCATTTATTGTTACTTATGATTCAGTACAGAAATATATCAGTCTTCATTTAACAATAGCGTTTTCCTAAACATTGCCCTTTCCTACCCTGCTTGTCATCAGAATTGCTATACTAAACTAAAACACATCAATGGAGGAGCGCATAGGAGACACATTATTGGAACAAGCTGTAAGTGGTGCCATAAAAAGTAAACCAAAAAAAGGACTTTGGTCTTGGTGACCAGTTACCCGCAAATGCACAAATAATTTGGCACTTGCTCTGAAATTAATTTAGGCACTGCCAGTATCTTTTAAGTATCTGTTAAGTGGGACTCTGTCTTGTCTCCAGAGCAATCATCTGACGTCCGTAATCCATGATTGGATGAGTTATTTCTGAGAAGTTACTGCACTCACACAAAAGAGGTGCCATTTTTCTCCAAAGACATCGTAAGCTAGAAAGCTATGCACTTCTTAAAGTAAAAAGCATTGTGTGCTGAAAAAAAATAGTATAAGACATAACACCAAAAAGCAGTGGGCAAGTTAGACTTCACTTGGTTTGAAGAAGTCTCAGGGAACAGAAGCATAGGCTTGAATTCTGACATCATAACAAATACAATCATTCTTATCTCCATTTCTGCAGTATCTGCATCTATGGAACATGAAATTTCTTTATAATAAACAGTTCGAGAGCTATATTTCTCCAGAAAGTTAAGTGTATCATACATTAGATTCTTATATAATTGATCAATATAAGAAGTAACTGAGTAGATCTGGCTTAGGAATGCTTATGTGTTTTAAGAGTATTTCTGGTATAGTTTGTAGGGTGTTTTAAAGGCATAGAGTTTATATGTACCTCTTGGGACAAATCTCTCCTTAGTAAGGAGAGAGTTTTCTGAGGTGGCACTAAGTGAGCAAAATTTATTTATTGCCTGTAAACTAAAGTGAAATATGAGACAAGTCTTAATGAACAAAGCAGTCCTGCTGTCACATATGACCACTCCAGAGAAAGCGCAGGAAAAAGCTAGTAATTGTTTTAGAAACTCTTGGACCTACCCTTTAAACTGGGATGTTGTTCCCAAAATAACAGCTGTTTCCTTGACTGGCTTCTTTTGGTTAAGATTCGTTCTTTCATTCATTCTTTCATCATACATACATTGAGCACCTGCTGTGAGCCTGGCACTATTCTAGATGTTTGGAAAACACTGGTAAACAAAAACAGACAAAGATCCCTGGTGTCATGAACTTACATTCTGGTAAGATGTTCTGAGATACTGGATCATATGTTCTAGTGCAATACCTGACTTATTAAAACTTAAGATTTTGTAAAGTATACATAGCCAAAAGCTATGAATGATTTAAATATCATATTAAAATACACGCAATTTCAAAAAATGGCCCTTATGCCAGTTTCAGAAAGGCTGAAGATAATATTGTTTTTAGAGCCTTCTAAGACTACTTTATATAGAGTTCCTAAATGATACTGACTCAATAATATTCAGCTTCCAAATTTGGGTGAACTAACTTAGGGTTATGTGTTTGCTGTAACTGTTGAGAAATTAAATACTTACCTAACTGGGGGAAAAAAAAAAAGTCCATACTTAGCAATTTTAAACTTACTAAATTTAAATTGTGTATAGATACCTAAAAGGTAGAAAGCTGTCACGTACATATTATCAAACTACAAATTATTCTCTAATACTCCATTAATGGTATTACACCACTTTAATACTCAGTTGTTGGTATCTGTTTTCAGCCGTTCCCTTCTTGTACATGAATGAAGCAGTCTTGATATTCTTTTGCTGTTATGACTGCTTGTCTGGCTCACCTTCTAGCAGGCTCTTTATCGACTCTTTGGAGAGGCAGGGAGCTGTGGGGATGGGGCACACAGCTGCCTGGAATCAGGTTAGGGCTGTGCTGTTAGCCTTCAGAACGGAAATAAAACTCATCTTTGCCTTTAATGCCTTCTCTGCAGTTGTTTTAACTTACTATTTTTTATAACAGCTTTAATTTTCTAATCCTTTTCATCTCAAAACACATATCTTCTCTAGTAAATCACATCCTTTCCATATTTAACTGTAAAATCCCCCTTTCCCAAAAAGCCTTTTTTAAGTGCCACCTAATCTCTAACAAACTCATGGACTGCTTCCCTACACTGACTGATTTATCATTTATGAATTTATTCATTTTACTATAAGAATTAGCAAGTGAAATTAGGAAAATTATCCCACTCCCTTAAAAAAAATCCCCCCAAAATAGAATGATCTTGTTGTGTCAGGAATAAATGTAACTTCATTTATCACTCCTTGGCATTATTCATGCGTTTGTTTCCCCTGCAGTGATGTCATGCTTCTATCTGTGGGTGGATATATGTATCGCTGAAGTTGACTATATATGTAGTATTTCTGTCTCTTTAAAACCCTGCCGAGGCGAAGTCTTAGCTAATCAGCATGTAGCTAATGTGTCCATGGAGGGCACAGGATGGTGCAGGATGTAGGCAGCATGGGAGGAAGACTTCTGTATCACAGCCCACTCTTGGGTCTCAGCTGCATCTATAAAAATGAATGGGATTAGATTAGAGAATTTCTAAGGTCTCTTCCAGTTCTAAAATGTCAGTAATATGGGCAGCGTAACACTAGACTTCTATAGCAGAGCAGATTACTTTGTGATAAACAGCTTTGACAGATGAAAATAGAACAGCCATGTTATTTATGGACTTCATCGATGTTAGAAAACTGTACGCTAACTAAACGTGAAATGAAAGAGTGCCGAGTGCGTTGGAACCAGGGATTTCTGGCACTGGAAATGAATGCCATTTGCACACATAAATGAAGCAAGTGGGAGCTGAGGTTTGCCAGCTGGTCCAACTCATATCCTAGTGTGGCAACACTAAGTCATCTCCCCAGATAGATGGCCAGGCTTTGTGAATGTAACCTCTCCTCTCATTAGAACCACTGCTATGGAAGGAAGGACATAGGTTTAACGATTCCATTCAACATTAACTGAACACTTCCTCACTGTAAAAGGGTAGTGTTAGCTTCTTGGGGACTAGAAGTGTGCCTACCCATCCTCTCCTCTTCAAGGGTGAACTCCTTACAGGATTCTTGTCTTAATCATTGTAGCACCTCCACTTGACACTTTACATGGTACTTGGCTCAAAGCAGGCATTAGAAATGGTTTCTTAATTTGAACCAACTAGACGTGGCTCACGGAGTTCCCATCCCACCGACATAGGAGAAAACCTTGGTTATATGAAGAAAATTAACTACTCACACAGTTTTTTGATACATGTATTTATTGTGCTGTAAAAAGCAATACTACCTGATTTCATTTAAAATAAATATTTCCCAATTTCAGAATACGTAGAACTTATAGTTTTAAGATTAGATTCACTTATGGGAAGTTCTGGAAGCAAATACATTCATAGCTGTGTAAGCCCCAGGAAGAACCTAAATCCAACATCAGGTCAGTCACTGCCAGACAGACAACAGTGTCAAATGGTCAATTGCCAATCAAGCTCTGCAGATAAGGGCAGCATGGGGTTGATAGGGTACAGCATGTCACACCCAAAGGTGAGTTCATTAGAACCAAGATCAGCAAAAACAAGTGTATACAAAGCTTTAAATTAACCTGACCGTATAGAATTCTCATGATACGTAAAAAGCACACGTGATCCTAAAACCAAAACAGAAAGATCTTTGGAGTATTATATTGATGGCAGCAGTTAGCAGCACAGTCAACAAGCATTTAAACCAAACGCACTCGCTATTACCAGCCAACAGCGAACAGCCAGAGCAGAAACCAGTGTACAGTCATAAAATAACATCAGGGGTAAATCAGGGCACATTTAGCTAAACCACAAAGATTTTAAAAAATAGTTTTGATCTGAGAAAAAAATGAAAACTCTCCTTGATCCGAAATAATAGAACTATTTTTATTATTATTATTTACTATATTTTTATTAAGTCTCATAGTCAGTGGTAATCAAGTCACACAAGTGAACCATCTTAATTTTCCATCTTAATCACACAAAGCAGGCTGCTGTTTGAGCAAAGGTATTCCAGTTTTCAATTAAAAATATATCTTTCATAATATATTTGCGGGGTGGGGGGGGCTTATGCCTCCTGTGCCTCCGCTCTGCATGGCATGATAGATCTGTGGGGCAGGAAAGCAGCAGCCAAGCTGGTGGCCCACCCTCTGCCCTCCCCACAGAAGTGTGCACGTGGGAATGGTCTTCATGCCTAATACAGCTCAGTTAAAGAACACTGGCCACAGTTCCACCAAAGGAGCTACTATCTAGGTACTGGGAGGAAGATGGTCTAAACCACTGACTTAGATTGGAAGTAAAAATCCAAACCCCTGGAGGCTGGCTGGAGTATATAAGGTACCACTGGGCATGATAAAGCTTGGGAGCAGCAATATGTGCTGACAGAGAAAAAAATCAGGAAATTTCTATATTAATGTTGTAATCACTAGCATTCATGTAGTTGAGGATTCTATTCATTTCACTTTAACACAGCTTCAAAGAAGTCCATTTGTGTGAGTGTACATGTGTGCTTAAAATCTGAAATCCTCATTAACATACCTCTGTCTCTTTTGAGGTATGATATGATAGAGTATCTGTGCAGTTCCTAGCAATTCTGTTCTTTCATTTTTGGAGTCTCTCTTATCTACTTTCCAAATTAATCATGCACAAAGAAGTGATAAGTCTCAATTTAAAATGAAATGGCCTCTTCTTAGTATTATAGAGCCCACCAAAAATCACACAGTAGGGAATCAGAAGAAAACTGGGGTGATCTAGTGGTCCCCCAGAGAAAACAGATACCTTGATACAGACTTTTAATGACAGACTTAAAAACAAATGTTACTGGCAGCAGTTCCCATACCATCAGAATAACTTTGGTAGCTTAGAGCATTTCTGAATTCTAGAAGCTGAAAAATACCTTCTTAAAGTAGCACATCCTTTCACTGTTAAGACTGATGAATTTGATTTGTACTAGGCTTAGTAATTTGTCTCTGCTTCATCTTCTATAGACAAATGGTGTAGTTATAGCTCTATGCCAAACATATGAGGCATTTTCTGAGTTACTGTGGAAAACATGAAGACTGCATAGTATGCCAGCTCCACTTTCCCAGCTAAAGGAACAGGCAAGTAGCTAAATGTCTGGGAAAAGAGGCTGGACTAAGGGGATATAGAAAAAGGAAAAATTTTCAAACGTATTGTAACTACATTCACACGTTTTGGTCGCCAAACATATCTTAAACAGATTCCCTGATAAAGTCTAATCACGACTGGTCTATCCTACTAACAGTTGTTAACTAATATAATCTTTGAAGAGTCACGTTATGAAGCTAGGGTGATAGGAGACATTTTAAACACACAACCCTAAGTGTGTACAGTTGTTCAAAACTCAAACTAAATCTATATTTGAAGTCTTGAAAAATCACACTGTTTGTTTCTAAAGGCAGCCTTGATCCTTTTGGACAGAGCTTAATTTATAAATGCATATCAGCAGATCATCACCATAAACTGAAAGTTCACAAAACACGCAAAAAATCATGAAGACCGCACAGTTAAGCTAGCGTTGGTAACTATTTCTTTTACATCAAATTGTACAATGCACGAGGTAAATATTGCTCACATTATGGAGGAAGATTGTTTTATTTCTATTTTTTTCCAAAGAGATCAGATTTGTCCTGTGCGTAACAGTGTGAAGAAAACACCAGTAACACTGAAATGACAAATGTCGTAAAATATACATCCCTACCAGATAGAAATACACACGTTCATTCTTAATAATCATTTTCCACAATTAAATAGGTAAGTGATTTAAATCTTGGGATTAAGACCGTTATAACAATCCATCAAGATTCTTATGGACGGTTTGATTTTCCTTTCCATTGTCAGAATCTCCTTGAGGTGTGTACTGGACTTGGTATTCCTGGAGGATTTTAAATACATCATGGTGTCCAAAGTGCAGTGCTTCATCCATAGGAGTGTTATTCCACCTAAACAAGGAGCACAGCACCGATTGGTAATTTCTGTACAAAGAAGATGATCAAACATCTGTAGATTTTAAATGCAGGTTAAATGTACATTCAAAATGTACTCCTTTTAGCAATATTACAAATAAAATTAATAGCAGAAATGCAGAAAGGGATTTATAATTCAAAAAGTGGTCTCAGAGACAAGTTGGGATATGGGGAGAAAGAAAAAAAATCTATGGAAGGATCTTGTTTACATGTCTAAATGCTCACGGAGAGGACATTTGTAAGGGAAGTTCTAGTGTTGACAGATGACTCTAGTAATCTTAAATTTTGATTTCATGAAAAGGCCCCAGTCTCTCTTTTTAAATGAAAATTCAGGTATATAACATCTATTAACCTAGCCTTTGACAAAAAAATTGTGTTCCTGTCAATTTAAAGTCAAAACCTCAGAAATCTGGAAATAACCATGACCTCATTAGGGCTCAGACATACATTGGAGGAACAAGATCCGCCATAGAGGAACGGACGTTTTAATCATCTCTGGTAAAGGACTGGAACCCGTGGGCTCGGTTGGACCACTGCACAACCAAAGAAAAATGCCCTTCCCATAGTAAGTGTGCTTCTGGGGCCATGCTATTCAGAGTGATGTAGTTGAAAATTGAAGGATAAAGAAGAAATGAAGAGCTGCCAACAGTGGTTAATCAGCTAATTAGCCTTTTGAAAGACATCACTAAGAGGAGACAGCACTATAAAATTCACAACCCAAATAAATGACAGGGTATGATAACTAGATCCCTAATGTCTGACTGTTAAGCCTCTCTTCCCGCTCGCTCTCTCTGTTTAACTTCTCCATAGTTGCCAATCTTACTCCATTTTTTGCATGTGCCATTCTCATCACCTTTCTTCTGGTTTTTGCCTTCTTTCCATTCTTGGACATTATTCCTTTCCATCTCTGTCCTTAACCTGCTACCCTCTTAACTGGGGTCACAATATGGAACTGGAAGATTTTTTAAATAGCCTTTTTTTTTTTTAATATTTTTGGATAAAGTTTGGTAGCCTGTTTTTAATTTTTAAAATCAGGTAAGTAACACTTTACATGTATCTGTGTGTTTCTCGAAAACAGTTGAATTAAGGTGGTTTTTACTTCTATATAGGGCTTCATAATATGGGGAGTCAGTGGCCCTAAATGGGGGAGTAAGGGGGTGGGAAAGTGGGAGAAGATACTTTTCAGTCATCATCTGTAGCATGTAATTACGGAAAAATTTAATGTTAACTGCAAGTTATATTTTTTTGTTACAACTCTTCTATGAAATAATGCAAAATGTCAACTTTAAAGAACACAGTAATTTTGCTCAAGCCTATTTTATAATTTCAGGAGACACTGATTCTGTGAAATAGAAGAGTTGTCTTGGGTTTCTGGCGTCCATTCTATAATTCTTGAATACCCAGTTACCAAGTTATGTAGCTAACGTTTGCATCTCAGCTGGGTACCTCTACTTCCACATTCCTAGAGGCCAATTTAGGGAAGGAAATCAATCCTTAGATAAACAAAGCACAGTAAATATTTCCACCATGTGTTAAATCGTGTTTTAGCTGGGATTAGAAGCTCAGAAGGAAAAATAAAACATTTCAGTTTCTTGCTCTACAAAGAGCTGGTGTGGGCATTGTATTTGAAGATAAAAGAAAGGATTGTCAATCTAACAGGAAGTTTTAGAATACTGCCAATAAAGACCATTTTGATCATAATGCTTTTAAACAACTAGGAATAAAGTTAGATAAAGTGTTACCATACTTATAAAACTGCTAACAGTTTTCAGACACTAACATGATAACTTTTTTTGTATTTCTTCCAAGCTGAATTATAAAACTAAAAAAAAAAAAAAAGAAGTAAAGAAAGCTTAGTAAACAGGAGGAGTCACTGGGTGGTACAAACAGTTAATGCGCCTGGCTGCTAATGGAAAGGTTGGAGGTTCCAGTCCAATGAGAGGTGCTCAGAAGAAAGGCTTGGTGATCTATTTCTGAAAAAGCAGCCACTGAACACCCTATGGAGCACAGTTCTACTCTGACACACATGGGGTCACCAGAGTTGAAGTCAACTTGGAGGCAGCTGATTTGGTTTAGAAAACAAAGATCTAATTGCTCGGCAGTAATCAACTTGCTCCAAACTTAATGCAGCTCCCAGTCTTCGAATACTGAATCCAAACTCCTAATCATACATATCAAGTATTTTTTCTTTCCATTTTTTAAACCTTTATTTCTCCTTATTCATCTGTTCTACTCCAGTTATATAACATGTGAATATATGAGTATAGAATTTACTTAAGTCTATATGTATATAAGTAAGCTATATTCTTATGCCTCCCTTCACTGTTGCTTTGCAAATAGCATTTACTGCAGGATGAACAGCAGTTTGCCATATGGACCAGGAGGGAGAGAAGAGGAGCAGAGTATATTCCAAGCAGATTTCTCCCACTATAGATAGAATATCCTTTTCTTCCTGTGACTTCAAATCTTATCCCCAAAGCACTGATTAAAATTCAGCTTCTACAAAGATGTTGAAGACAGATTCCACCCAAATCCAGGAATTCCAACAAACTCCAATATATTCATTTTAGAGTTCAGTAACAGTAATTTTCTTACATTTTTTATATGTTCCTGTGTTTATCTGATCTACCCTGTATGGTTAAAAGCTCCATGAGGACAAAATTCCTATTTTCTCTTTCCAAGCAAAAAGCATTGTTTTCTTCATACAATGTATTGACTGACAGTCAAACTAACCTGCAAAATTCTAAGAGGCCATCCTTAGAAATAGGATATGGGAGAGAATGATTTACCCAGCAGAAGCAAGGTTTTGTTTGTTGCCTTTGTTAAGTCACCATAACAGCTTCAAGAATATCTCTGATATACACATAATAAATTGAAATATACCATCACTCAAATATTATAACTATAATAAAATAGTGACTTGCCAATTAGATGTTAGAAGGTAACCATAAGTACTCACCTATCCTTGGGGAAAGGATTTACTTTGCAGGCTTCCAGCAAAAATTTAACAACTTCAACATGACCTATATCCAAAACAGAAACAAGCAGATTTTAGTATTGAGTAGAAATTAAGTCTGGGGAAAAGGAAAAAAAAAAAAAGATGAGTGGTAATGGTTCCCATATTACCCTCTGCAGCAGCTACGTGGAGTGCTGTTCTGGAATCATAGTCTCGCTGTTCCATGTCCATGGCTGACAAAGCAAACCTGAAAATTTGTGAGCATAGCTATTCATTATACATAGATTTGATTAGCACTTGTAACCTTTACTCCATCAGATGAACCTAAGGGCCTGTCAGACAGCTGCCATCCTTCACGAGGCTGGCTCACACACTCCAAATTTAATCTAGTCCTCAAATACCTAATCCAAATTCCTAATCATACATGTCAGACCTCTGCATCAAGTATTTTGAGTATTTACCAGGTAAAATGCCATTTCACCTCTCTTAGCTTTGTTTTTTGGGGAAAGAAGTGAAACAATCATCTCTTAAGCTTCATTATGTTACTGAGTCAAGAATAGTGGCACAATTGTACTGAAGATTATTTATGTCTTAGAAGGGCAAGAAACTAACACCAAAGTTGTGTGCTTTCACAAACTGTTACTTAACATTTTACAGTCTATCATTTACAAGAACTACAAATGAGATTTTAAAGCAAAGGTAGTAATTTAGACATTTTTTCCACTGTAAAGATCAGTTGCGACTGTATGCTAGAGACCTAAGTTAAGCATACAGTTCTATACGGCCTTTCTAACCCTGGTGATCTGCAGGACGCCACATACCCGTTCCCCTCCCCCAAAGGTGAGGGCAGGTAAAGGTGGCTGGGAGTTGAGATGGCATTGTCCAGTTCCAGTAAAATATGAATACTTATTAGCCAAACTAAACAGTTAACCATTTGGGAAAACAGAGGGTGAGGCTTTTCATAAGTAGAAAAGGCCAAGACTGAACAGCAAGCCTAAGGCTCTGGCAGTGGAGATTTAAGGTAAATTTTGTTCAGGTCGTTTCTATTCCGGGGAAATGGAAGTGAAACCTTAGATAGCCTTCACATGGCTGCTTGCTCAGAAGCAACTTCATCCACATCTGTAAACCACGTGCTGCCCCACCCTGTTGGCATACCTTCGGAGTGCAGACACATCTCCAGTGTATGCCGCAAACAGAAGGTTTATCACTGACTTTACCTGTGAAGAAAAGAAAGTTTAGGCATCCACAGGGGAAAGTAAATACAGAGAATGTACAGCTGTCACTGGTAAGTGGTCTCCCATGTGCTTTGAACACTTTAGCTGGACCACATGGAAAAGGGTTTCATGAGTACACTCAACCAAAAGAATGCACGTGGGAGACAACATTTTCCTTCTTTAATAGGGGGTTGTGAGGGAATATTCAACAGGAAGGATAAGATACATGAAGGAAGGAATGGAATGTCAGTTGGGACAAAAGCATGGAAACTTGCAACCTGTGAAACACACAGCTGCAGATACTGAAAATTGCTTAGAACACTTCCTTTCTAGTATCTCAATACTGAGAGCAAGTTCACACACTGATAAAAACTCACATCATTAAAAACTAAATCATGGTATATAAATGTCTAATCCCTGCCAGCATTCACTGTACTCATCACTCGCTTCTTTGGAAATCTGAATATTGAGACAACCTGCAGAATTAATAGGGCTGTGGTTCACTGGAAAGATGATCTTTGGTTCAATGACCATGATATACAAATTGGGGCATTCTCAGAGACTCTGACACTACATATGCTCAAAAGGTGGGTAAACTCCCAAAATACTAAGTCACTGCCATTGATTGAGTTTGCCAAGACTTCAAGGTATAACTGCTTTTGACAATTATCCACTTTTCTGCTTTCCTGGTTTTTATTTGTTTTTTTTTTTTTAAGCAAAAAGGTAATTATCCTGAAGGTTTTCAGATTTTGGTCTGTTTCATAAAGACTTCATCCAGCTGTTTATGAGAAACTAAGCTATTAATCATACAATGTAAATACTTCATAAATTCCCACTTTCGTCTCTTACACTTTGCAAATTCAACATTCATAATGGTGACCCAACTGATACTGGACTCAAATGTTAGAAAACAGAAATAAAGTTTAATTGGAGGGATGGAAAGTAACCCAGCTATCCATCAACAAAGCCACCACCCTGGGGCTACACTCCCAAGATTTTAACCTGGACATCTCCCTTCCCACTGTAGCTTGCCCTTTCCCACCTGTCAACTTTTAAATCTCACTGGAACTGACCACTGCTCTACTCTACTCCAGCATTTCCAAAATGTGTTCCCCAGAAACTAGCCCTCAAGATGCTTCATGAAAAAAAGGTCCTGTGGTTAGATGTTTCTAAAATACTAAATTCTTTTCTTGAAGATTCATGAAATGCTCTGTAAAGTTCTGCAGTACAGGAACCTGTGGAACTAGCTGAGCACACCCCCAAAAACATTACTACCACTCACTATTATTATTGTTGATACTGGCTATGACATGGATCACACTTCAAAAAACCTTACTCCTTCAGTCCACCAGTTTCCCTTCCAGCTACCCTTTACTCCTCCTGCCCAGCCTGCACTCTGTACTCGGCACCCTGCTAACCCTAACAGTCCAGACAGTTTTCTCAGTGGAGGTGGAGGAGGAGCTTAATGGAATTACCCAGAATGTTCTAAATTGTGTGTGTGCGCGTGTGTGCGTGTCCTCCCAATCCCAGTTCTACTCCCACCCCTCAGTTTGGTACATTTTACAGAGAAAAGGCAAACATATACAGTAGTTGGAAAAAAATTCCTGAGGTGATGGTAAGATGCACCCTTCTGGATTATGAATCACTAATCCAGGTGATAAAAATTGGTTCTCATCTCTCTCCATACTCTTATGCAAAATAACTGCTTTTAATACCTATTTTCTCTTCCTTCCCTCCAAGCCTCAAAGCAAAAAGTTATCCTTCCTCATTCCTGAGACTTCTTTACCTACTGCCTCAAACATATATCCCCAGATCCCTTAACTATGTTCCCTCACTATCCCCTTTGTTTCTAACATTTTCAACTTTTCCCTCCTTCACTGGTTCCCTCATTGCTGCCTTAATACAGATATAACTTTGTCCTATTTTGAAAAACCAACATTTGATCCTACTGTTCCCCCTTTCAGTGTGCATTATTTTCTAAAAGTAGTTTATATTTTTAATTCCCTACAAATTCACCATTATCTTTAAATAGTACTCTCAAACACCTACAACTTCCCGAAAACCAAAGTCCAGTACCCTTTCTAAACCAATTTTCTGATCTCTCCAACACTCTCCATCCTCTCTCATGCCTCGTCTTCCATGAATCCGTATTACTTGATCTTCCTGTTTATGTTGCTTTGCATATTCATCTCCCATTTTCCACTGCCAGTCTTCATCCTTCTTGTGTTTCAACATAACTTCTCTCAAAGGTTTCATACATTCCTCTAGGCAGGATGACTACTCAATCTACATCTTTAATCTAAATCCCATTCCGAACCTTAGGCTCAACCTTCCTTGTCAAACTAGAGCTTGACAAACTCAAAAATAAGAGATCTCTCTGCAGCCCTGACCACTCCCCACCCCAGCTCCAGACCTAACCCTCTGCCATCTGGACATCACTCCAGGATGTTTACTAGACATCTCATACTTATCATGTCCAAAACTTGATTTCCACCACCTTCCCCCATGCCCCATTAACTCCTCTTTCAGTCTCCCTCATTTTGGGATGGCACTACAATTCACCCAGTTGCCCAGGCTATGACCTCAGGAGTAATCCAGGGCTGCTGTGTTTGACTGTACTGGTTTGAGCCCTACACAAAGATGCCCAGCCACAGGGCCAAATAGGGGTGCCCACTCCCAGCTCCTCTCACGAACCTATGGTGTCTTAGCACCCAGGTGCCATTTGCTGGGAGGAAGGGAGCCGCCTTCTTCACACACAGGTGCTGAGAGGATCTGCTTGCCCCCAGAGGGGAGTTAGCTTTTTCTAATTCACACAAACCCACTATATAGACCCTGTTGGTAGTACTTGATTCTCTTCTTTCTTTCACAACCTATATAGCCCACATCTAGCTCATCAACAAATCCTGTTAGTTCTACCTCCAAAATATATTTGGAATCTCACCACTTCCCTAGGCCTCACCTGGTGGTTCAGAGGTAGAATTCTCACCTTATGGGAGACTAGGTTTGATTCCTGGCCAATGCACCTCAAGCACAGCCACTGCCCTCTGTCAGTGAAAGCTTGTGTGTTGCTATAATGCTGAACAAGTTTCAGTGGAGCTTCCAGACTAAGATAGAGTAGGAAGAAAGGCTTAGAGATCTACTTCTGAAAATCAGCCAGTGAAAACCCTACTGACCACAACAGTCTGTGGTGCATGGGATCACCCTGAGTCGTGGCCGACCTGACTGCAGCTAACAACATAGACCTAATCTGAGCTACCGCTTTATCTCACCTAGAGCACTGCAGTAGCCACCTAACTAATCCTCTTGCTCTACTCAGCTGTCACAGGGATCTTTTAAAAAACACAGGTCATGTCACTCCAGTGGCTTTCCATCACACCTAGAACAGAACTTAAACTCTTTACCACAGCTTTCAAGACCTAAATGCTCTGCTCCCTGATTACATTTTGCAAGTCATTCCCTACCACTCTTCGTCTTGCTGCTCTATGCCAGCCATCAGGTCTTCTTGCTGGTCTTCACAGGGAGCACATTCCCACACAGAGAGAGCCCTGACCTACTGTTCCACTGTGGGGATGCTCTCCCCAGGTAGTGAGGACAATGCCTCCCTCACTTCATTCAGGTCTCTGCTCAAATGTTATCTCACAGATTCTAAAATTCTCTTTCTTTTATCACTTTTTATCCCTTACCCTGCTTTACTTCTCTTTGATAAAAAGATTTACCTTTGTTTCCAGTCTCTTTTCCTCCATTAAATGTAAACTCCGTGAGGGCAGAGTCCATGTCTTTTGTGTTCCCACTGTAACCCCAGTGTCTAGCACACATAATAGGTGTTTGTTAAATATCTGTTGACTGACTAAATGAATATTCTACTCCAAAGCTTCTTACCACCATTTGGGGATTAAATTGTAACCATTATTAATTCTTCCACCTCCCATAACTTTTAAATTTTCAAATATCATTATCAAATTTATTCAATTCTCCTAATTGGTGCCTCTGCTTATAGTCTTTCTTACACCTTCCGAAACTTTTCCACATACTTCTAGCCATCTTCTCAAAACATGCTTTATCACAGAAAGTTTTCTAAAACGGGAATGTCAAGAAACTGCAAAATCATTCCCGATAAAATTTAAATTCTTTAGCTTTATATTCAAGTTTCTACATTCTGGCTAAAGTATCTTTCCTTCTCAACCTCAACAGAGCAAACTGGTCTTATTTACTGTCTTTGTTTTTGTCGTAGTGTCTATTCTTTCTCTTCTTTTGAGAATACCCAGATTCCTAATTAAATCCTTTCCATGCTTCAAGCCCTAGCTATCAAGCCCCTACCTCGCTACCACACTTTCCCAGACCATGCCATCACAGCATTCATTATCCATGCAGCTTGTTGCTGGCTGACCACATAATGCCTTGTGACAGCATGAGCCAGGAGAGGAGTCATCAAGTAGACGTCCACCACAACCCTGAATGTACTTTCTGCTCCTTCTAATCCACAGTACAGACTACTGATTTCCTGAAAGTTATCTTGTTCTTTCCTCTGTGAGCTCTACTCCAATCTCTTAACCTAGAAATAATCTTTCTCCTGTTTACCTCACATATGGCACTATCTACACACATGACCACACAGTATACATATATGTATCTTATCTCCCCCTCTACTCAAGAAATTCAGAATTCTGATGTACATACCATTAATATGTTAATACACATGCTGTTTATTCTTTCAAGTGTATTAATCCTTCTAAGAAATAAATCCTTAATGTGTTTCAGAGACTGTATGCATGAACTACAATTATTTTTAAAATTCTGAATTAGACCAAGCTACCTGAACTGAGATTTCATTTATATGTGTGTGTATTAGTCATTTAATTATTCAATATATCCAAAGTTCTACAAAAAATTTCTTACTAATGACAAGTAAAGCCCAAGAAAGGCTGATTTTAGAATATAATCAGTTTATTCAAAGTATAATAATACTTTATTCACAAGCATGTTTAAGCTCAGTGGTAAATCTA